AGGCAATACTTGCATGGAGCGCAGGGCCAGCAGCTGCACAAAGGTGTCTGCTCGGATCTCGTGGATCTTGTTGTGCTGGAGACCRCTGCAAAAACACAAACTGCTTTGAGAAGAGAGCTGCAGGCAGCGTTCCTGCCTTGACCCCATGACAGAGTGACCCCCCAGACCATGGGCAGCCCCTCCCTCCGTGGGGCCAGCCCCTGAGCGGGGGGGACAGGAACCGGGGGAGGGGACCTGGGGGTCACTGTGGGTCACTTGGAGTCAGTTTTGTCCATGTATTGATCACTGTTGGTCAGCTATTGATAACGATGGATCAGTTATTGCTCAATGGTCACTCAAGGTCACTCAAGGTCACTCAGCAGTCACTCAGTGGTCACTCAGGGGTCACTCAAGGTCACTCAATGGTCAATTCCCCTCTCCAGAATTGGAAGCTGGACATGCTGTGTGACCTGGGGGTCACTCTGAGCCCATTTATCGATTGCTATYGATCTGTTATYGATCACTAYGGAATWGGTTATCAATCAGTTATTGATCAGRGATCACTCAGGGGTCACYYCCCCYRCCCASGAGTGGAAGCTGGAYAYTCTGTGTGACCTGGGGAAGGTCTTTGTCTCAGTGCAGCAGATGCAGACTGTCACAGGGGGAGTTGCTGTGCTTGGGACACCTACTCTGATTGCAGGAGTTAAACAGGATGAACAGCACAACACGTCAAAGCCATTCTCTCCTGCAGCTAGGGGCTCAGACAGCCTCTACTTTTGATGCCATCGAGACTCAGTAAAGAGCTGCTGATGTGCAGCAGCCAAAGGTGCTCTGTTATCTCCAWATCCACACTGGTTTCCCACTGCTCKGCCCTAAAGCCTCCAAACTGCTTCACCCAGAGGACAAGCAGAGAGTCTGGAGCCAGGGATAAACACCCAGCTCTGGGTGACCCTTCAGGAAGGACCACGTGGTACTGCCCTTTGCCTTTGCCCTTTGCCTTGGTGAGGATTAAAGAGCTTTGAGGGCTAAAGAGTTTGATGAAGAAAAGTCTTGATGTCTTGTTGAGCCCACCGTCCACATGAAGTGCCTCAACCTCTCCTGTCCAGCTGCCTCCTTCAACCCCTGGGGAAGGAGAAGGAGCAGGGGGAGAGCTCACACCGACTCTGCTGACTGACCCACACACTCTCACACCCTCAAGGGACACCCTGCATGCTCCAGCCATGCACCTTGTGGGAAAAGCTCAGCTCCTCAGGTTTGTTTCCCCTGGTGTGACATGACAGTGAATTTTTATTCAGATTCTAGCAGAATGTCCAACATTAATTAATTCCCAGACCTGCAGAAGCAGTGTCCCCACTGTGACCTTCTTCAAGGGGACACTGCTGCTGCCTGGTGCTCACCTGCAGCAGCTCCCTGGGCAGTTTTTAGGTTAGTAACCTGCCTGTAGACCCAGAAATGATCTTGGTTCATCTCACACAAGGACCTTCCCCTGCTGGCTGTAATGCCCCAGCTGGCATTTGGCCACATGTTCCTGTTWCAAAGGTGGGCACTTGGGGCTGATCCCTCAGTGCCCCACAGGCTGGCATCAMTCCTACCTCTAGCCAGGATTTCATGTGGGTGCCACTGGAAGCTCTGGGCAAAAATTTGGGGGCCTCAGTAATGGGAAGAGGTGGAGGTTGGGCAGAAGGGGTATTGGAGCACGGTGGAAAAAAATAAYTTAGGGGTGTTTTAGTGTGAAGGATCACTTGTGTGGTGCAGGTAAAGGCCTGCACATGGGCACTCACAGCAGGAGATGGCACACCTGGGTTGTTTCTGTGCCAGGTTGTACCACCAGGCACCMCCAGACTTGTTTCCAATGTTTTTACCAGCAGGAATGCTGATACCTGATGGGGGTGGGGCTTACAGGGCAATAACTTTGGGGTTAAGGGATCAAGTACTCATTTTGTAAAAAAAAAAAATTAATTCAAGGCTTAATCTATTTGGCTGCAGTAGCCAGAAGCTGCGATTTATTGCGGTTTTGTATTAATGTTAAGTCTGAATTTGGCATATTATATTTTTTTTTAAGAAGGAACTTAGGGAGAATGTGTAAAACTACAGGTTTGGAAATCTTATCATTTGTCCTTTTTTTGGTGTCCTTTCTATTTTTTTCCAAACGTCCTCCTGGGGTACTCTTCCAGCTGCCATAAAAGGCAGCAGTGTAACTGTCATTTCCAAGTGGTTTCACACAATGTCTAATGTCCAGTTTGCTCAGGCTGGGTGAGCTGCTCTGGGTATCCAGGCTGGGGTGCTGCAGAGAGCAGGGACAACCTCTCCTGGTTTTTTATGGGGATACTGCTCCCATACATCTGTTCTTCCAGGTAGCAGAATTCTGTAAAAAGCCATGAAGTCTATTGCATTTTTTTAAGTTTTTCTCAAAAAGGCCAAGAATTTGTGTTCTATTTGACGTGCAGAGCCAGATTTCCAGACACTTTGAGCTGAGTATGAATAACTTTGTCTCAGAGCAACAGCGGTGCCTCCCAAGGCCTGGAGAGGACCCAATTCAAGGGCTACACCTGAGGACAGAAACCTGAGGAAAGGATTCTGAGGACAGAAATATGAGGAAAGGATTCTGAGGAAAGAATCCCCCTACTCTCAGGAGGGGCTGGCCCTGGGCAGGATGGGCAGGAGCTGCTTTTTGCCCACAGCATGGGACACAGAATACTTTTATGGTGGACATAAACCCCATTCCCCATAAACCCCATTCACTGGAGTTAGTGCAGTGAATTCAGTGCTGCCACATCCTACTGCTGTTTGAAATATCTGGGACCTCTGAAATGACCTGAAGGAATTAAGCTCCTATGCACAGGGAATGTATTTCCACTCTATATGTGCACAGGGGCAAAGCTCTGGTCTGTTTTCACTCCAAACAGGGAGTTAAAATGTCCAACTTTCCCAGTGCTTAGGGGGGTTTGTGTGTGGGAATTGCCCCTCTCCCAAAAAGAGCCTTTTTCCCCAGGGCACAGTGTGAACAAGGACATCTCCATACTCACAGCTCCTCCAGCTGCTGGCATTGGTGGAAACTGGGCAGCTCTTCGATTTGGTTGTGTGACAGCTCTCTGCAGGGGAAGGACAGCACAGGAACGTTGGGACATCAAAGGCAGTGGCCCTGAGCCCTCCCTTGCAAGGCAGGCGCTGCTGAAGAGCGGGGTGAGCTCACTGCATCCTGCACAGCTCAGCTTTTGGAAACCCCAGTGAGGGCTTCTCCCCTCATAGTACCCCCAGGGAGTGGGATTCCCATTCTGCACCTGATGCTCTGTGCAAGGTGCCCCATGACTTCCCCACCTGTCCAGCCCCAGCCCAGCTCCCTCCAGCCCAGCCTGGACAGCTGGCCTGGGCTTGTCCTCCCAGAGGACAATGTGCCTGCAGAGCCCAGGGAGGTTTTGACCAGCCAGCTGCTCTCCTCCTTCCTGGCACAGCAAACCCACTGCCCATTGCCTGCTCCCCATTCAGCTTTTCCCAAGGTTAGGGAAGGGATTGTGACATTGGCAGGGATTTGGTTCTGGACATTATAGACTGAAAACCTCTGGTCCCTATTCTTTGAAATGCTGTCACTTGAAAGCAGTTTGCAGCAAACTCCTCTTCACACTGGTTCATGGCCCAGTGTCATGTTAGTGTCCAGAGTAGAGAGGTTTGATAGTCAGAGGAAAACCCACCCCGGCACAGCTTATTGAGAATTTACTGAAGCTGRAACAGGCTGGGTAAGGAGAAATGTTTAATCCCAGCTCTTTCCCCCACCAGCAGAGACTGGATTTGTGGTTGTTCAAGGGAAATTTGCCCCGGGGTAAAGTTTTGTATGTGGCTTTTCTTCTGACTTTCCAAACTCAGTTTCCATCTTTCTGCCAATGGATTGCTCCTAAATTTGTTTTTTTTTTTTTTTTTTTTTTTTTTATTGGAAGACCAATATATTTCTTTTTTGGATTGGTGTATTTTTTGTAATTCCTAAATTTGTTTTTTTATTTTTCTTTTTTTTGCCAACCCCCTCACCACCAGTTTTCCATGGTGGAGAGGAGGAGGTGGGGAAAAGCAAGGAAAAGGTTTGTGCTTGGTTCTGGTGGCTGTCACCCAGTATGGAGAAAGAACATCAATCACTTTTCCCTGGACCCTGTGTCAACCCATAGGGCTTGACAGGGCTGCAGCTTAGCTAACAGTGATGGGGGAGAATCAGCCCTGGGAGTTATTTCTGGTTCCTCCAAAGTGAGGGTAACCAGGTGCAGCCAAGAATCTCCAAACAGAGCAGCCTCAGTCACTCACACTTTGCTGGGAACAGACCAGGAGGAAGGTGCCAATGGCACCAAGGAACTTCAGCTCTGCTCAGGCGAGTTTCACCTATTTCTGCCTGACAAGAAAGACAAATCTTGCAGTGCTCCAGGAGCATTTGGAACTCTCCCAGGCACAGGGTGGGATTTTCGGGGTGTCTGTGCAGGGCCAGGGGTTGGACTCAATGATCCTGGTGGGCCCCTTCCCGTTCAGGATGTCCCAGGGTTCTGTGATATCTGTGCCCTGAGCAGCAGCTCTGGATGGAAGCAGCAGGACGATGCCAAAGGCTGTCCTGCCTGTGCCATCCCAGGATGGCTGTGACCCTCTGTGGCTGCACAGCCCCTGTGCAGGATCTCTGCAGAGAATCCTCATCGTGGTGTGAGGCCAGAAATGCAGCCCTGACTGTGCCATCTGTGTCAGATGTGTCACAGGCGTGGCTCCCACTGCTGCCAGGGGACAAGCAGAGAGCAACCTCTGGGGCTGTGGAGACAGGAGGCCGAGGCATTGCAAAGGCAGGAGAGTTGTAAACATGCACAAACATTGGCCCACATCCTCTCTCTCCAAACTCTGTAAGCAATGCGATTAATTGCAATTAATGTGATGAAAGTTTACCAGGGAAGAGGAACAAGGAGCAAGGAACAAGGTGGGGTGTGCCAATAAAACTGTCCCACATGGAGGGACAGGCACAAAGAGCAGGCTCTGCTGTGAGGTTTTGCAGTCTGATAACTTGCAAACATAAACAGAMATTTGGGACTCAAAAGCCTGGGCCAGACCAAGGCTGCACTTCCATAGCAAGGCATCCACTGAATTGGTTCAGATGTCTAAAGATGAGAGATCTTCCCTACAGGGACTGCTGGAGCCAGAAGCCTGTAATCTCCTAAGTTACAAATTGTCTCCTTTTATTTTTATGTTTTATTCTTGTTTCCAATTTCTGTGATCAAGAATTCACTCCTGTTGCTTTCCTGGAACAMACTTGTTTTCTTTTTCAGCTTGCTTGTATAAAGACTGATGAGAGGCAAGCCTCCTGTTGCCCTAAGGCTGCAAACTTGTATAAATCTGGCTCATGACTCATTTCCTGAGGATGTCTTTGACTGCAAACATGATTKGGGATCTCAGGAACCCGGGGTGTGATTCCTGAGATGATGCAGGATCTTTCTGAGAYGTTGGTTTCATCCTGTACCAAGATAAAGGAGCAGGCTCATTCAGGGCCTGGCTAAGCAGACAGAGCAAAGAAACAGAGACTGAGCAAAACCCAGATCTGGCTCTGCTGCCCCACATGAGGAAATGCGGCCTCACAGGTCTCCATCAGGCCAGCCCTGATCCCTCCTGGGGTATGAACAGGATCTTTCTTCCATCTGATGGCACTTGTTGGAGCTCGAACTGCAACAAGCCGAGGCAGGGACAGAAAGTGAATTAATTCCCCTGTGTTGTTGGGCTAAGAGCTTCAGCATGGCTGGGAGCTCTGGAATGCTGTGGCTGTTCTTACCCAGCTCCCTTTGTGCCCTCTCTGCTCTCTGGGCATGGGGCAGGGCGGTTCCTGCTGGTGCAGAGCAAGGAGGATGTGCCTGATGGCAGCCCTGACACCACAACATCATCCTGGCTCAAGAAGAGCGCTCAGGAACAAGAACTCAAGGTGGTGATTAAAAAGGTGGACATTTCTCCATGGAAAAGATAATGGGAACCAGAACCAYGGGATGGTCTTCCACAGCTGCTCCTGTCCCTGAGCTCGACTGAAGGACAGCCCTGTTCCTGATGGCATTTTCCTGAGGAGCAGGCAGGACAGAGACACACGGTACTCACAGCACTCGAAGGCTGGGCAGCTGCTGGCACATCCTTCTGGGGAGGAAATGGATRCCTGCCCGGGTCAGGGTCCTGGAGGGATGGAGGAGAGACAAGAAATAGTGTTGCTGACAGCCAGGGCCAGACTCTGTGACCCAGAAGCCCAGATAGTGGCAGGAGGGACAATATCAATGGACAGTGAATACCTGGAGGGGATAAAAACTCTCTGGCAGTTTTGGAAACAGACCCTGCTGCTGGACCTGGCTAAGGTGAATGTGCCCATAAAGAGTTCTGGGCCACTGCTGAGTGCTGAATTCCGGCTGTCCTTGGCCAC